GCTTATTCTATGGAGTTGCCTTTTCCTGTTTGTGCCAGTTAATGTTGTGTCAACTTGACTGGGTCAAGTGAAGCTCAGACAGCTGATAAAACATTATTTCTGGGTGTGTCTGTGAGGGTGTCTGGTAGAGATAAGATCACCCTCACCAGTGCGGATGGGCATCACCCAATACTTTGAGGGCCTGAATATAACCAAAAGTCAGAGAAAGAGAAATGTACTCTCTTTGCTTGAGCTGAGACGTCTATCTTCTCCTGCCCCTTTTTTTTGTCCATGCTGCACAGCATGCAGGACCTTAGTTCCCCAACCAGGAATCAAACCGCACCCCAGGCAGTGGAAGCACGGGAGTCTTAACCACTGGACCACCAGGGAAGTCCCATTCTCCTGTCTTTTATAGCTGTTGGTTTTCCCCCAATTCAGGATCCAATGAAGATTGCACATTATATTTAGTTGTCATGACTAGTTAGTCTCCTTCATTCTAGAACAGCTCATCCCTATTTTTTTTTTTTTTTTTTGCGGTACGCGGGCCTCTCACTGTTGTGGCCTCTCCCGTTGCGGAGCACTGGCTCCGGATGCGCAGGCTCAGCGGCCATGGCTCACGGGCCCAGCCGCTCCGCGGCATGTGGGATCTTCCCGGACCGGGGCACGAACCCGTGTCCCCTGCATCGGCAGGCGGACTCTCAACCACTGCGCCACCAGGGAAGCCCTATCCCTTTTTTTAAACTTTCATGACACTGATATTTTTGCAAAGTCCAGGCCAGTTTTTTTGGTTTGTTTATTTGTTGTTTTTGCAGACTGTCCCTCAATTTGGATTTGCATTAGATGCAGGTTTAACATTTCAGGCAAGAGTACTACATAGGTAATGTGTCCTTCTCAGTGTATCACATCAGGCAGCCCATGATGCCAATTTGTCCCAGTCATTCATTTAGGGACCTTTCTCCATCATAAAGGTACCATTTGTGGTTTATAAATAATCTGCAGGATGATAATACTTTTAGACAATATTTCATCCAATTATTTTAGCATCCATTAATGATTCTTTTCAGAATTATTATTGTGGTGTTTGCAAAATGGTGATTTTGTATTTCTATTATTCCTTCTATATGTATTAGTTGCAATTCTTCTGTAAAGTAGTACTTTCCCTTCCCCATTCCCACTTCTTTCTTTTTCTCCCCTTTCTCCATCATAAAGGTACCATTTGTGGTTTATAAATAATCTGCAGGATGATAATACTTTTAGACAATATTTCATCCAATTATTTTAGCATCCATTAATGATTCTTTTCAGAATTATTATTGTGGTGTTTGCAAAATGGTGATTTTGTATTTCTATTATTCCTTCTATATGTATTAGTTGCAATTCTTCTGTAAAGTAGTACTTTCCCTTCCCCATTCCCTCTTCTTTCTTTTTCTCCCTCCCTCCCTCCCTCCCTCCCTCCCTCCCTTCCTTCCTTCCTTCCTTCCTTCCTTTGTTTTGACAGTACTAACTCATGGAATTTTTTTCAAGTCAGTATGCTAAAATCCACTCTGGTAATTGATCATATTGATGCTCAGATGGTTCCTTTGTGACCAGTGGAATTCTTTAAGCTGACTTCTATATTTTTTTATATGTCCCCATCAATTGATTGAGCTTTTCTTACTTTCTGTCACATTAAGATGTTCCAGGCTCACCCTTAAATTTTTGCTGCCCTAGCCCTGTGGAATCAGTTATTTCTTCAAGGCCCTATTTTCTTTATAAAAATTTTTATTTATTTATTTATTTATTTAGGCTGCACCAGGTCTTAGCTGCGGCCTGCGGGATCTTTTAGTTGCGGCGTGCAGACTTAGTTGCAGCATGCGGGATCTAGTTCTCCGACCAGGGATCGAACACGGGCTCCCTGCGTTGAAGTCCCGGGGTCCTATTTTCTTTGTTGTTGTTTTTTTTGTTTGTTTTAATGGGGAATGGTTTTGAGGAACCAAAATGTAGGTATCGGTGTGCTTTTTGCTACAGGAGTGTCATTGCTTCTTGGCCCTCTCAGTGGATAAAGCTAAGAAATATGTCTTTAAAATGTCTTTTAAAACACTACATATCAGGGTTTTATTTATTGTTTTGTTGAGTGTGATGGGAAAAATGTTAACAGTGCAGACTAAACTTAAAAATGTATCATGTCTGTAGCCCTTACATTGTGACTAGTCCCCTAAATTGAGGAAAATTTCCTCCAGTATTTGAAACCAATTATTTGATTCAGCAAAGAAGTTGCTTACATCATTGACTAACAAGTGACATTCCCACATACATCTTTATTGTTTAACTTTCCTCTTACTCCTAACATAAATGAAAATATCAACCAACACTTATGCCAGAATTATACTTGCTCATCAATTGCCACCCTAGGTTGGCTTTGGATACAAGATTTTGGCAAAAATCAACTAAAGCATTCTTTGAGAGTTAATTGCGTACAGAGTTTATAATAAAGAGCATTACACATTTTATTATCATTTGTAAATTGTGTGCTACACATCCTTTCTATCCATAAAATTTATAATAAACTTATGCACATTTATATCTACACACAGACTTTTGCGGGGAGAGCTGGCGGTTAAACTTTCACTAGCACACCACTGATCAGAGGCGACAAATGGCTAGTCCCAGACTCCATGGGGACCACTGACATAGTTTGACCCACACAGTGGTATTTAAAGCAACAAACAAAAAAGCAGAATAATGTGCCAACATTTAAAAATCACCTGGAGTTCCTAATTCCCTTGAAGGATCAGATCTGGCCCTGCTGTATTCTCCCATGGCAGTGACACTCAGCCAGCTTGCACTGCTCTGGACCCTTCAGGTGGATGTGCCTGCTCAGCTTGCCACAATCCCCACCACTCCCTGTTGTGCTCCCAACCCTGTGACTGCGCACCAGATGCCATGTTTCCCCATGTATATGCTTATTTGTCCTCTGTCAGCACAACCTGAACTGCATTTCAGTCTAGAAACCTGGTAACCTCAGGCTTGATTTATAACTTAATTAGCTTTCCTCCTCTATTGATTTAAGTCCCATTGACCCACAATTATTTCTAAGAATCACTTAAAACACATGTGAAAGGGCTCTGAAACTATTAAAAGCCACCAAATGGAAGATATGCACATTAAGATGCTCATAATGTCTAACATCAGTTAATTTTATACTTTATTAATAAAAATCTATTAAAATTCAATTTGTTACATTTTCAGTAACTAATGACAGTAAATATATTTATTATTAATCTTTTCACTTGTATCCTTCTTGCCATTCTTTCTCCCTCTTTTTTTCTTCTTTGTCTTTTTCCATTACTTTAATCTTACCTCTCAAATACAATGTCAGTAATGAGGTCATTACATTTTTCTATTAAAATTCATATTTTGGTCTTAGTTTTGGCCTAATTTAAACACTGACATTATAGATGCATGCTAATTAGCCCGAATGGCCAAATCCCCCACCAATTAAGCAAATGTAGACATTTCAGGTTATTTCAATCACCCTGTGTTAAGGTTAAGAGAAAAATGTGATGAATGTGATATAAAGTCATCAATTCCAAGACAGCCTGTCATTTCATAATAGAACTATTTCTTATTATGATATCATAAATTCAGTAATGTTTCAAATTCTTTGCACTCTGAATTTAGACATTTATACCATAATTGCCACAGATTCTTTATATTCCACTTTAATGGTAAGTTGGGTCTCTGGGAGAGAAGGTTTTCTTCATACAATGATGAGTCAGTTTAATTAATTAATTAATTAATTTTTAAATGTATTTATTTTTTATTTTTTTGGCTGTGCCACATGGCTTGCAGGATCCTGCTTCCCCAACAAGGGATTGAACCCGGGCCCTCAGGTGTGAGACTGCAGCATCCTGACCTGGACCACTGGGGAATCCCCAAGTCAATTTAATTAAAAAAGAAATATGTTGTGTTAGTTCCTTGTATCAATGCACATAAAACCATTTTGTGTTAACCCCATCATACAAAGTATCTTGACTTTCCAGTCGTAAACTTCCAAATGCACCGAGTGCTTAAAGTTCTTTCGTTTATTATCTATTAGTAATCTGGGCATATTTACCCATGGGAGTAATGTTATAAGGGACCGTTACATTCCCAGGCTAGTCCCTAGTGTAGTCAAACATAGTTCTCCTGGTATTAATCTAACTTCTGATTTCTGGAGCAGGAGAAAGAGGCGGGGGGATGAAGACAATGAGAGGAGAAAGGGGGAAGTGGGGCGGAAGATAGGAGGCAAGACGAGAGAACGACATGAAGGGCTAGAAGAGGAAAACTTTCCCCGGGTTTAGGCCTTGCTCTAAGGAAAAAACCCAATGCACTTGGCTTTTGTGACTTCCAATTTTGATTTCTGTATCCCTTCCTCAGGACCTTAGTGCCCTTATTCAGTCCTAAGGTCCCACCCTATCCTCCAAGCTTCAAACCTCCCTCACTAAACACACTCACAAGATTCCCCTTTCTCAGTGTGACTATTCTTAACAAGATATTTGGAAAATACCAGTCTAAGAGAACCTAATCATTCTGTGGCACTCACAGTCTCAAAATGCTGAAGTCTATCATTCTCTACTTAGGGGAATTCCAACCTATCTAACAAAATGAAGCAAAAAAAAACAAAAAATTAAGGCAATGTTTTGAAGGAAGGCGCCTTTCTTGGGGGTCATCCCCTCTGCTGAGCTCCACTAGGCAGTTCCTGGGGTGCACTGGTCTCTCCATTTCTGATCTGACATTTCTCCACCTGTCCCCAGTAGCAAGGACCTAGCCTCTAGCCGGCCCTCAAGGCTTGTTTCTGGACTGAATCAAGTAGGTTTTTTGGTTCTTTTTCTTTTGTTTTACCATGGATGGGCATGGGCAGAGCAGAGAGGGCCAGCAGAATGGGGGCTGGGGGTGAAGTGAAGTTGAGGATAGGAATACCCGTGACCTTGTTCACAGATTCCTTGTTGAAATGATCCATAATGTGCCAAAGGTCCCAAAGGTTGGACACAGCTACAATGTTAGTAAATGAATGTGACAACATAGCTTTTGTTGCTTAGAATTGGGAAGGTTTTAAAGTAGGAAAAGTAGGGGAAGTTGCTGGCCATGCTGGCAGAGTTTGCAATACTGTATGATTTTAAGGATGACTCCCTGTTGAAAAGTGCCATATCTAAGAAGGAGATATACATACAGGTTTGCCAGCTTTGGTGTAACAACATGGGCTTCTCTTTGGATTCTCTCTCCCCACCATCGTGGATGAGTAAGCTCTGCTCTGGGGAGAGATGCTTGGCCTCGGTGCTGATGCGAAGCCTCTTCAGACCACAAATAGCCAGGTACTCAGTGGGGAGAATGTTGGCACTGCACAGAGAAAGCTTCAGGTCCCGGACCAGCGTGAAGTTCAACAGGGGTCCCAGTGCAAATGTGTCCGTGAACCAGATGGTCAGATGGTCATTGTAGCTGGTTTGCTCGACTGCAAAAGGCAGGACGGTTTTACAGCTGCACATCAGGTTGGCCAAACTGTAGTCACAGTCCCGGATGTCTGCAGAGCAGCTGCACTTCCGAATGGTATTTTCCTTCGTGAAAATTAGCGTGCTGTTCTTCTGAGCTCTCGCGAAGCAGTCAAGTGCAAAGACGCCCAGTGCACCGATCACAAGGAGGCTGCACCCAGAGGGTGGTGCCATTCTTGTCTCAGGGTGGGCCAGCGAGCTTCCCCTTTATGAGCTGATTCATTGGAACTCACCTGAAAGAAAATGTGCAGCTTTGTGATCACAGCCTCTCGTTAGAAATGTGCAGCTTCCAGAAAAGGAGCCCCCTAAATAATCAATCTTAAACTTTCTCTCTTGCAGTTTCTAGCAAAGGCAGGCAATGCTAGGAGCCCAAGTGCAGGCAATGCTCTTTTCTCAGAACCTCCTGGGAGGCCTCAGCCAATCCCATGAACTCTGCTCACCTGAGCTGTGAAACTCCCCGTGATGTCTGTTGGTAGCGAGACTAACATGCCAACAAGTAAGCAAGAGCAGATGCCGGACAGGAGACCTACCGCAGCCTGTCTGTGGGCAGAGATTTGGAGTGATTTGAGTGCGCACTTCCAAACTTCCTCCAAACTTCCCGTTGCCAGTACTGAATACCTGTCTACTCTCTAAACAGGCACATATCCCCACCCCCCCTCAATATCTGACTTCCTGGAATTCAGGAGACAAACAGTTCCTTGTCGGAATCAGCTACCCACGTGCTACCTGTTAACACAGCATGAATACAGGTGAAACATTTAGTTAATGGTAAACTTCAATTTCTAACTAGACAAACATGCTCCCCTCGATCATATTAATCTGTTTGTATGACCATTCATACTTTTCCTGGTCTCCTAGTCCAGTATTAGAATCCGCTTTAACTGTGTTACTCGACAATGTAAAGATTAATCACACACCGGTTAATCACAATGATCCTGATTTATCTACTCCTTTCCCAGAACAAATTTTATAAATTGACTTTATTAAATAACTTACTATAGGGCTCCAAAAGGAAGCAATATATAAGCACTGTTAAATGACCTAAATAAGGTAGGAATGCTTGTTTAATTTAAAGAGCAACCCTGATGTCCAATTTGGGGGAAAATGCCCTACAGTGCCTGGCATATAATAGACATGTGGTCTTCTTTTATGGTGTGATTGGAATAAGACATTATGAAATAGGGCACCAGATTTCAGTTTTGCAAAACTAAGGAAATTTCTCCTGAGTTAGCTGATGACTGAACAGACAGACCAAACAATACAGTTCAGTGCATCTATACATATGGTGGTAGGCATGGCAAGATACTGGGGATAAGACCTCTGAATAGGAGGGTCCAGAGCTGGTGATGGCCTCCTGCAGGAAGTGTGGTAAGGAAGGATTGATGGAAGGTCACTCCAGGGAGTTACACATGTGTCCAAAGAGGATGGTGACAGCAGGAAAGAAGCTAGGCAGACCTGCATCCCTCAGGGAGTAAGATGAGGCTACAGGATGGCAGAGTAAGTCAATGTGAAATCTAAGGTCAGGGGCAGAGCTAAAAATGCTGGGGTCAGGTACACAGGCAGACAGCCCAAGTACATTAGCAGGTTGATGGAGTGAGTGCTGGGAGATTAAAAATCAGCTCAGCCAAGTAAACTTGAATGGATGGTAAGACATTGGTTCACAGCAATCATAATACATTCATCCATTCAACAAATGCCCATTGGGAGTTTACTAGGTGGCAGGCACTTTGCTAGCCCAGGGGATACAGCCCAGAATAAGACAATGAGCTTATGTTCTAAAGGACTTGATTCTGCTTCCAGAGCCCAAGGTGGGTCAGGCCTACGTGTGAGGACCAGATGCTATGAGAGTAGGGAAGGGGAAGGAGGCAAAGGCAGGAGTCAGGTAAGGCCAAGCAGAAGAAACAAAAATGGACAAGAGCTGGACCCTGCCCCAAGGGCTCATCTGCAAAAGAGGAAAACAAGGAAGGCTGAACCGAGAAAGCTCTCCTGAATGTACACACAAATATAGGATCATAGGAGAGAGGTAGGCTAAAATCCATTCGGGAGACTGGATAAGGCATCTGATAGTGTTTGTGTTTATTTTGAAGTTGGCACAGGGTTTTCTTCTTTTTTTCTTTTTTTAAGTATAAGTAGTGCTTTTATTCTTTCTAAAAATGGATTTTGCAAATGGGTTTTAAAATTAATTTTTATTGGAGTATAGTTGATTTAGAGTGTTGTGTTAGTTTCAGGTGTACAGCAAAGTGAATCAGTTATACATATACATATATCCACTCTTTTTTAGATTCTATTCCCATATAGGTCATTACAGAGTACTGAGTAGAGTTCCCTGCGCTATGCAGTAGGTTCTTATTAGTTATCTATTTTATATATAGTAGTGTGTATATGTCAATCCCAATCTCCCACTTTATCCCTCCCCCACCTTTCCCCTTGGTAACTGTAAGTTTGTTTTCTACATCCGTAACTCTATTTCTGTTTTGTAAATAGGTTCATTTGTACCATTTTATTAGATTCCACATATAAGTGATATCATATGATATTTGTCTTTCTGTGTCTGACTTACTTCACTCAGTATGACAATCTCTAGGTCCATGGCACAGGGTTTTCTTAAAGGATTTATTCATTAGTTCATTTTGTAGTAAAAGAAAGGGCTTTGAGAAACATGTAGATCCAGAATTCTCCCTGAACGAAGGGCTTAACGGTTTTAAATTGTGTTAGAATGTGGTGGCAAATACCCCACTTAGTAAGGAACAGTGCATAATTTATTAAATACAGATAATTTTAGATGATCACCTGTCCCAGATTCCACAGGAGGTTTCTAGGACTTCATGTCCCAGTAACCCCATCATCCCAGAACTAGGAATGCTGTCATCAGTATCAATGGCCTGCTCTGACCCCAGCCTTAGAGGGAAAGGGAGGGATGGGCATCTATACATCAGCTGGAACCTGGTGACAGAAGTGTCTACCTCATTCCTTTAGGTGCTGTTACCATTCAGAGGCGTGCATGGAAGAAGACAAGGGGTAAGAAAGGAAAAAGATACGGATTTCCTGGAGCTCTCCAGTGGAGCTGGAGATCCCCAAAGGGATTTGTGAGCAACTTCCTAGCAGTCAAGGCCCTGGCTGGGCCTCAGCAGCGAGGGCGCTGCCTTCCAGACATCAGGGAACTTGAAGGCCAGAACAAGGAGGCCAGATGCCTGAAGCCTCATGAAGGATTACAGAGGGGGACAAGTATCCCTGGTAACCAATTGATGGGGTTTCCACAGAGATGCTAGTTGGACATTTTTCTCCTTCAGTTTTTTTTTTTTTTAATTTTTATTGGAGTATAGTTGATTTACAATGTTGTGTTAGTTTCAGGTGTACAGCAAACTGAATCAGCTATACATATACATATATCCACTCTTTTTTTAGATTCTTTTCCCATATAGACCATTACAGAGTATTGAGTAGAGTTCCCTGTGCTATACAGTAGGTTCTTATTAGTTATCTATTTTATATATAGTAGTGTGTATATGTCAATCCCAAACTTCCAATTTATTCCCCCCCCCCTTATCTCCTGGTAACCATAAGTTTATTTTCTATATCTGTGACTCTACTTCTGTTTTGTAAATAAGTTCATTTGTACCCTTTTTTTTAGATTCCACATATGAGCGATATCATATGATATTTGTCTTTGTCTGACTTACTTCAATCAGTATGACAATCTTTAGGTCCATCCATGTTCTTGCAAATGGCATTATTTTGTTCCTTTTTATGGCTGAGTAATATTCCATTGTATATATGTACCACATCTTCTTTATCCATTTCTCTGTTGATGGGCATTTAGATTGCTCTCATGTCTTGGCTATTGAGAATAGTGCTGCAATGAACACTGGGGTGCGTGTCTCTTTTCGAATTATGGTTTTCTCCAGATATATGCCCAGGAGTGGGACTGCTGGATCACACGGTAGCTCTATTTTTAGTTTTTTAAGGATCTCCTTCAGCTTTACCATGGATTTCTCTCTTTAGGTTTGTTGAACGTGGATTATGAATACCCTACTTTCACTATATATCTATTCATCTGTGGGCAAATTCCAGCCTGGCATAAGCAGAGTGAGCACAGATACATCACATTGCCCCCACCCCTTGACCTGCTCCTGCCCATGGTAGCGGGGGCACTCTTGGGAAAGAAACGTTTTTCTCTGGGGGTTGCTCAGCTTGTAGAAGGGAAATACAAATCTATTGGTAACTGCCTTGTGTCCAGAATGGGTGAGCTTGAGAATGAAGTCAACACAGAGGGAAACAGAGACAAGGAGTAAAGAGACATTCCTAACAATCTTTTTCTCAGCACCCAGATCAAGCCACGCCTGACATCCCTCCTTGATTTTTTAAAAATATATGAGCCAAGTTGTTTTCCCTACTCAAGCCAATCTGAACTGGGATATCTACAAGAAGCAATTAAAAGTGTCTTGGTACACTGACATTTGGTGAACTATGCTTTTTTCAGTCACTAGGTAAACATTTGTTGAGTGCTTGCTTTGTGCTAGGCACTGTGCTAGAAGATAAAGCTAGTAGGAGCTTCGTCAAGGGGATATACCCCAGTCAAAGACGCACTGGAACCAATGATCACAGAGTAATGTGATAATAATTATAATAACAATTTGTATGGGATATGAAGTCTGTACTTAGGACTGCCTGGGAGTGGCTAAGTTCATAGTATCTGATTAGAGAAATATTTCTTGAGTGAGAACCATAAAAGGAAACTTACCTATGTAATTAGCATAGAGTGAACAGAATTTTTAAAATCAAAAGTAGGATAGAGAGATTGACAGGATATGAGGTTGGCAGGGGTGGCAGTGGGAAGGGGCAGTCGAGGTGTTCTGTGGGGCTGGAATCCTCTGACTTCCTCTGACAGATCATTTCTCAGCATCCCAGCTTTTTGTGGGCTCCATCATTGAGATTTGCAGACTGTGTCCTAATATAAGCCCCCTCCACACCCCTAGGGTTGGGGCATAGGGAGGGCCAGAGGCATAGGGAGGGGCAGGGGGCGTGGGTTTTATTTGTGGCCATTCTGCTTAGGCCATGCTGGAGTCTGCCCACTAATGAACAAATGCACAGTGAAACCAGGGTAAAGGTTCATTCCTCCCTTACATGCAGCCTAATGCCATTAAAGTGGGGGGGGGGTGGAGGTAGGGAGGGTG